AGCGGGTGGAGATGGTTCCAGGAAACTTGCAGAAACCATGGACTGATTTGGCGCTTGACCAGTAAGGTTTGGAGAGTCCTTTTGTATTGGGGAGCCAGTGATTGCGCTGCTCTGGAGACATGAGCCAGGGCATGTTGGCCTTGGCGTTCATGGAAGCTCCCAGCCCACTGTGGGCAACAATCAGGTGGCACATGGAGCCATTGTGGCCAACCCGTTTCCTGGGACATCTCCCCGATTTGTATGCTGACCTGTGACTGTTACTCGGGCCGAATTGCTTCTGGTTCCAAACCAAAGGGACGATTTGTGCAGGGAAGCTGGGAGCTAGATGTGTTTTTGTAGGCATATTGGGAGCTAGATGTCTTCCTTCACGATATATTGGGAGCCAGATGTGCTCCTTCACCATATATATATATATATATATACACATGGATATACACATACATGCGTGGCGCGTACAAAGGAGGGCAATCGTTTGGGTTGTTTTGTTTGTTAGTTGCAGGCAAGAAATCTAATCAGTTGGTCCAAACAGTGTTGAACATCCAGCTTAAGAACTTGTTATATATTCCGGGGATTCCGATTGAGGGAACCGTTGCTACAATGATTTGATCGTTGCAGGCACCAAAAACAGACTTTGATCAACCAGGCTGCTTCCCAATAAGAGGCGTGCTCTTGGTATCCGACTACTAGGCGAGCTTAGCCATCCTCGGGAAGTATGCGTACAATTGTTTTGATACTTTGACGTGCACTTCGCAATGCTCGAGTGGTGGCTGTAACATTCTGTCAGCAATCAATGTGTGTTTTTTTCTTTTTGCAGTGGACACCCCAAAAAGGTTACGGCGATCAACAATACTATGAAGAAACTTAGTCTTGGGGGTGCCAAAATGGGATTCCGCGGAAGGATTGGTTCAGGGCACGGAAGCTTGCGGAAGCGTGGGGTAGACTTAGGGTTCCTTTTCCATTTTACCAGTGACTCCAAGTGAAGCAAACAATACAATATACATTCTATAACTGGGCCTAACTCCAATCATGAAGCTTATGCGGAACATATTGCACAGAAGCTCTGATCTGCATTTTGTTTGTTCTCGTGGCGTTGAATTGTTCTTGCGTGCCGAGCGCCCACCGCACCAGCCTGACTCACTTGCAAGCTTCACAGATGGCGAACAAATTGAAGAATCAACACGAATTGTTTGGCTCAAACTGCTCAAACAACTTGCTGTTTTGTTTTGGTGGCCCCGGGTGAACAGCGCAACTTGCGAGAACGCATGTTTGGGCCAAACATATCGTTTTGTGTATTGCGCCCCAACGCGAGCCAATACAGAAGGGACACCAAAAGCAAACCAACAAAATGGAAAAACAAGCAGCGAGTTGTTTGGCCCAAAAACGTCGTTCTCTGGCGCAGGTTTCTGGAAGTAAGAAACATGATTTGTTTTCTTGGCGCTGGGGTTCCTGGAGGCAAAAGATAGAACCCCTGCACCCCATGGGTGCTAGCTTCACATTTTCCAGGCCCCTTTGTGAGGACACAAAAGCAAAACGAAGAGCTGTGAAGAGACTAAAAGTGATTTGGAGGAATGCCCACTCGCCGAATCCGCAGCTGCATCCGCAGCTGCGACCGGGAACGCGTAAGCAAAGCTTTGTATTCAGAAATCCCTTATTTTCTGTAGGAAGCAACATGTTTAAGAAAAACCCGTTGTCCCATATTATGACCTTTTGTCCTTCAGATTTCGGTCACCGCTCAGGTGGTTTTCCTGTTGGTTTCCCTTTAAAGCCCACCAAAAATGGGTATCCTTGAAAACTCACACAACCATGTTGACTAGGAGTCTAGGCGCAGCAACATTCACGCTTTCAAAGGTTGTACCACCAGACTCATGGAACATACCCCTCAAGGATAAGACACAGTTTAAGGGTGGATTAGTAAGCTCTATGCAAGGCTCAAGTGCTGGGGGTCAGCGGGGTAAGTCTTTGAGTATTGTCATTCAGCAGTGGAAGATATAGCATCAACGTTACCACATGGTCTTAAATGTTTGGCCAAGAGAGAGACTCACCAAGCTTAGATTCGCTGTTCCGGTAGGCATGGAGGTTTTCATTTTGGCGCAAAGCTAGCACCCAGGCAACGGGGCATTGCCTAATGTTGCCAGTTTACAAATAGGAGGGTGTCCCAGGTGAAATGTGAGGAATCAGACCACTTTTGCAGGGGCCAAAACCACCCCCCTATGAATTTCAAAAGCTTGGTTCATTAATATGGATTAACATCATTTGGCTGTGGGTCAAAAATAGGGTATCCCCAAAATGGACCCCTGCTAAATGTAAACATGGAGTAACCCTGTGGTCTAATTCCTGGTGGTTGAATTTTGACCCATACCCATCCCGGGAGCCTTGCTCGCTTTGCGCGCTGGGCGCTACCGCCGAGGAGCTCTGTCAGCCCAATGCCCGGCGCAGGAGGTTCCGGAAAGCCCACCGCTACGAGAACTCTTGGGAGGTCCGGAAGGTGGGGGTCGCCTGAAGCGAACAAAAAACGACACGCGTGCGGAAGGCATGTGCTTATTTCTTTTTGCCGGGTGTCAACATAGGTCAAAATAAGCGCCATGGTGAAAAGCCCAGTTCCTGTACTTGGGATTAACAGGGATGGTCATCCAAATATCCATAATGATTCCAGCTAAGGGAACCATGACCATAGGACACAAAATTAAGTGTTGACCGTGGCGCATATGGATTTCAAAAAGGGCCGGGCTTGCCCTGGCAAGCCGATGGAAGCGAGTCCGCTTTAGGCGGTTCTGGCGGTTCTGGGCGGCTCACAGGCTCAGTCCAAAGTCTTGACTGCAGCAAGGCGAGCTGAAAAAGAGCACACATTGCACATGTTCTCCGACATCTCGGGTTGGGAACCGCCAGCATGCAAGAACTGTTTCTTTGTGTGTAAAAACAACGATTGCAACAAACATAAATGAGACGCACCCGTGCTCAGTAGATTGGGTCCCACCCAGCATATGATCAAAAGTCCAAGACCTTGCTTCATCCGTGGAAATGAACAAGCAACTCTGCGCTCCTCCCAAGTGTCCTTGATTCTGCTCATTGACCAAAGTTTTTAGCAACATGTTTTTCTGATCAAGACGAGCTCAAACGTGAGACCACGAACGAACTTCCATCTCGTGCCCGAAGCGGCTGTATGATCATGAGGAACTTTTTCTTGGAATCAGCATTTCGAGGGCCTGATCTTCATGACATGTCAAGAGCATGTTGAGCGAAATTACTGTGGGGGACTATCGGACCTTGGGTATAACGGACCCGCCCCGCCGAGGTGTCTCAGCATCTCGATTGGCCAATTTCAGCCATTCCCTGGCACATTCGTGTAGACTCCATCACAGATAAGACATGTTGGCCTGTGCAAGTTTCGTGTGTCAGAACGAGCGACCCGTCCAAATGGCTGCTCATATCAGCAGCCATGAATCATGAAAGATCACTTGAAGCTGCCTATGACCGCTGGATCGTAAGGATTATGCCATTTTGTGTGCCACAGACTCACTTTTTTTGAGTGGTGGTGGGTGATTCCGGCTATCCCATCTCTTGTCAACCGATGTTCATTTCTGAGATGGCGGTGCCTGGGGAAAGCTCTCAAGATGTGTTCCTTGCCAGTCCCCCAAAGTGTCTCTGCCTTGACTGGAATGCATCTATCTTTAGGCTGCGCAAACGAGGCCGCTATGCAGTCAAGATACCGGCAGTTCAACAACCAGCTGACAGAGGAGGTGCGGGGTGAAAGGTTCCCCCCCCCCCCCATGATTCTCCGGCTGCTGGTCCATCGGCAGTCTAAAACCCAGATCCTGAGTGTGAAGAGCAAGAAGGTGAGCGGTCGGAAGTTGCATTTTCATGCCTGCTATCATGCTCGTTGAAGACCAAACAGACGGGACGTCGTCACGTGCGCGCGAAGAGGCGAGACTCTTTGAGGGCGTTGAGGACTTGTTTGAATGATCCTGTCCTGGCAAATTCTATCGAGCACCCCTGCTGTTCAATCGCAGAGCCTTCTCAAGATCCTTTACCAGGAGGGTTCCGTTATTTTTGGTTTGCAATTACAGTCTTGTAATTTACTCTGTCATGCCCTGCCATAGCGGGATGGTCAGCCTGACATCCAGTCAGGCTCGAGAGGCTTGGAGGAGTGGCTAGCAGCTGGCTTAGATCCAATGGCCTGAGTGCTTGAGGCTCACGAGCAATGTCACCCTTGAGGGAGGCTTGAGTATGTTTGAGTCACTTGTCTGCCTTGTTGGTGTCACTTGTCTGCCTTGTTGGTCACGTACAACTCAGGGCCGCTTTGTGGCAACCCGGACTAGTTGTTTGTATCATTGGAGCTGGGCTGGAACCAGCGGGACGCACTGCAAGTTGAGCAAAGGAATGGATCGCAGCCTACGGCTGAGGCCCAAAAATTCGCCGCGTTTTGAGGCAACCCGTCTGAGCAGCCCGGAATTCCGCTAGCCCTGAGGAGCCCAGACAACTGTTGTCGCCAAACCATAATTTGCGAGGATTGACATAGCATGGCCATCATCGGCGTTGATGTTGGGTTAACACCAATTCTTTGGAGATCTTGCACGAGTGGCGGCGTGCGAGTGTGTGTGTGTGTGTGTGTGTGTGTGTTTTGTGTGTGTTTTGTGTGTGTTTTGTGTGTGTTTTGTGTGTGTTTTGTGTGTGTTTTGTGTGTGTTTTGTGTGTGTTTTGTGTGTGTTTTGTGTGTGTTTTGAGTGTGTTTTGTGTGTGTTTTGTGTGTGTTTTGTGTGTGTTTTGTGTGTGTTTTGTGTGTGTTTTGTGTGTGTTTTGTGTGTGTTTTGTGTGTGTTTTGTGTGTGTTTTGTGTGTGTGTGTGTGTGTGTGTGTGTGTGTGTGTGTGTGTGTGTGTGTGTGTGTGTGTGTGTGTGTGTGTGTGTGTGTGTGTGTGTGTGTGTGCAGCCTGTATTGGCTGGTTTGATACACTGATACACGAATTCTTAGCAGCCACAATGATACTGTATAGGGTACCACATAGATCCACTGTGTGATGAAGCAAAGTCACTGGCAGTTAGGATCTTGATCAGAGTTCAGATTGGTGATTGCATGTTTGTTTGTTTTCTCGCTTGCTGTCCTTCTTCCTTGCTTGCATGGTTTGCTCAACACACGTCCACGGGAACTGCGCAGTCCTTCTAGCCTTCGGGCAGAAGCAATCGCCAAGTCAGGGCTTGAGTTGTTTGACGGTAGGTCAGTTAGGTTAGAGCAGCTGGTCAGTGCACGCAGTCGAGCTGCATTTTTGCTTCGTCGGCTTGGGGTTCACGTCCCCGGCACCTGCGAGTGTGGGCTACTCTGTACAGGTCTGCGGCGGGCAAAAAGTTTGGTAGTCCAGATCAATGTTGGGACCGCCCGCCGGCTATAGCACACTGAGAATGGCCTAACACCCAGTTGGCTAATCAATGGCCATGGGACATCCCGTGGGAGACTCATGGCCCTTTGCATTTGGTTGGTGTCTCACTTCATGGAAACCTTTCTTGAGGTTTCATATGGACATGGGTTTCATCTTTACAGTGCATGTCTTTGGTTCCAGGAAACATGGGTCAACATTTGTGCCCACGCAGTTTCTTCAGCTGCACCAGGTGGTTCAGGGAGGAGATTTGCGGCCTCTTGCCGCCCGTGCCATGCAGGTACTGCCTCATGATAGTCACGGAGTTTAGTTACAAGGCTGGCTGCTGACCCTCTTAGATGTCCTTGTTCGTGCGCGTCAACTCATCTGGGTGCGGGCGTGCTTTGTGATTTGTCACAATCTTTAAAACTTTACAGGCAAACCAAAGTCAAACCTTCCATTTACACCCCTTGCACATACATATTGGAATCATATGCAGTCCATAGGTTTTTCACAGCCGCACGGTCCTTCTGAGAGGCCCACTGGCGCCGTGGGATTTTTGGCGTGGCTCACCTCAAGCGGTGAAAGATTGTGGATTGTAATACCGAGGAGAGGCACCCCATCATTTTTGGCCACATTCCAAGACTCGAGTGCCGAGTATGCGCAACAAAAACAGAGGTTTCAGCTCGTACCTCGAGCTGTGTCACCGTGTTGAGATCTTGATGTGGGCAGAAACATCAGTTTTAAAGAAAAACCAAAAGACAGCCTGCATTCTTGCTCGCCTATTTTGCGAAACACCCCTCTTTTCCTGTTTGAGGGAATGGGGTCAACTTTGACACATGCCCCTTGCAGGTGCTGCTCTGCTGCTACCTGATGTTCCGTGGAATCCGCAAGTATTTGACTCTGAAGGTCGTAATGCTGCCGCCCGCCGCCCAGCGCTTGCTATGGGCTGGTAACAAAAACTGGCGTCGGTTTTTGGGACTTTTCCTGTGGTTGGTAGGAAGCCACAAGGAACCCAACGACCTTGCGGGTTCTTCTTTGAGACAATATACCAAGAACACTTAGTTTCCTGGTTGTTTTAAGAACGGGCTGGGACACAGTTTCCGGCCGCTGGGGCTTCTGTTCGTGCTCGAGCCATGTGACTTACAAATCGCAGGCCCGATGGGTTTCATCCATGCTCCGTGGTAGGGCGCGGCACGGTTTGCTGTTGGGGTCCTGTGTACCAGCAACCCAGGATAGATCAATCCCCCAGTTGATGAATTGAATTGGGCGTGTCCCGTTTTGGAGGGGAACCTTCACTTCTTTGGGAAGCACCCATCCATCTGGTTTGGTTGATTAATCCGAGGTCGACAGTAGGGCTATGCAGCTCCAGCCGCTGAAGGTACGCCATCGGGTACATGCTGCACTTCGTCCTGGGCCACTTCGTCCCTGTAGAGGAACGCACCTTCCGATTGGGAGGTTCTAGCAGTGAAACAAGACCTTCGCTGGCTCACATGTGCGGTCACGTGTGTGTTTTCCTCGGCGAAAAGGACAGCTCACAAGCCTTGGCAACGGCGAGAGAAGATATCAATAGACCCTTGAGAGGTGTCTGTGTGGGTATTTGTCAAAATCGGGCGACCATCAAATGGCTTCGGTTTTCCTTTAAAACCAACCAACAAAAGGTACAACATGGCCACGTAGTCAAATCACTTCCCAGCTTAGCCGCATGGATTGCGGATCCTTTTGAAGGTGAGCATTTGAGCTCGGGTTTGGACCTCAAATGCCCCAAATTCGCCCCAATCCGTACCCCAAGTCACATCTACGACCGTTCTTGGCTGATTAAAGACAAATGCACTGGGGATCCTCGGCACCCCAAACGTGTAGAAGCTTTGCACGCAAGCCTTTGCTGGATCAATGGCCGGCTTTTCTTTTCCAAGCCGGCTTTCCCTGCCCCGATCCCGTGCAGGACACGGATCGCGCAGAGGCGCGTGGATGGGAGATCGGCAAACGCATGTTCAAGACATCAAAGCTTTCAGCAGGCGGTGCAGCTGTGCCAGTCGACTTGAACACCCCCCTTTCAACTCTTTTTTTTCTCACCGGGATCCAACAGCACACAGGAGCGAACTGGCATTTTGACTTAAGCGCAGGGCTGCAACGTGGTGAGCAGCCTCTTCT